AGAGAGACACACACACAGAGAGAGGGAGAGAGAGAGACATAGAGTGACACAGAGAGAGACACACACAGAGAGGGAGACATAGAGTGACACAGAGAGAGAGACACAGAGAGGGAGAGAGAGAGACATAGAGTGACACACAGAGAGAGAGGGAGAGAGAGAGACATAGAGGGAGAGAGATAGACATAGAATGACACAGAGAGGGAGAGAGAGAGACAGAGTGACACAGAGAGAGACACACAGAGAGAGGGAGAGAGAGAGACATAGAGGGAGAGAGTAGACATAGAGTGACACAGAGAGAGAGACACACACACACAGAGAGGGAGAGAGAGAGACATAGAGTGACACAGAGAGAGACACACACAGAGAGGGAGACATAGAGTGACAGAGAGAGAGAGACACAGAGAGGGAGAGAGAGAGACATAGAGTGACACACAGAGAGAGACACAGAGAGAGAGGGAGAGAGAGAGACATAGAGGGAGAGAGATAGACATAGAATGACACAGAGAGGGAGAGAGAGAGACAGAGTGACACAGAGAGAGACACAGAGAGAGGGAGAGAGATAGACATAGAGGGAGAGAGATAGACATAGAGTGACACAGAGAGAGAGATACACAGAGAGAGGGAGAGAGAGAGAGACATAGAGTGACACAGAGAGAGAGAGAGAGAGACAGAGAGAGACATAGAGGGAGAGAGATAGACATAGAGTGACACAGAGAGAGAGACAGAGAGAGAGAGGAAGCGAGGGGCGGGGCCAGCCAGTGGTGGGATCACCTGACAGGGAGCTACAGCAGAGGGCCCAAAGAGCCGCATGTGGCTCCAGAGCCGCAGGTTGCTGACCCTTGACCTAGCCTGATTCTTTCACCTTCCAACTTCTACCTGGTGTTTCCAACCATGGAGAGAATCTATTCCATGCAGCATAGTATTCCCTATCATCTTCATCTTTTAAAAATAAAAACATTTTTTTAAAAAAATATTCAATAATTATTATTAAAGGCGGGATAAAACCCACAATAATCAAAGCACTAACAAAAAAAAAAGCAAGCAACTACGTCGGCTTCTCTTTCAGCGCCAGTTAACAGATCGCCTCCTCCCCTGGAGCCCGTCGGCCGGGTCCATCGGGCGGAGCTCGGCCCTTCTCTGCGGCCCGTTTGGGCTCCCCTGCCGGTCCCAGCGGCCGTACCTCCCCGATGCAGAGCCCCATGACTTCCTCCTTCTCGGTGCTCAGCGCGTGGTTTAAGCACACCAGGAAGGCGTCGGCCTCCAAGTGCGCCGCCTGCACCGCCATCCCGGCCCTGGCTCCGCTCCTTCTCCTCCTCCTCCGACGGCGACCGTTCCTCGGCTCGGCCCCGGGCGCTCCAAGCAAAGCCTTTCCGCCCTAGGCCCGCGTTTCCCCGGGCAACGCCGACTTCCGGTCCGTCTCGCCGGAAGTGGCCGGCCGGGCCTGTGTTGACGCGCTCGTGAGTTCGGTCGGTTCCGGCCGAGAGTGGGAGGACGGGGGGGGGGGGGGGGGGGCGGGGGGGGGGGGGAGGGGGTGCGGCGGAGTTGGGCAGCGCGAGCTGTGTACGTCCGGCCGTGGGGCGAAGGAGACGCGGCCTTGTGGGTGGGTCTGTCTCCCGTGGGCCGCCCGACCTGTTTCGCTTGCCCTTCAGCCGGGAAGGGCGTGTGTTGGGGTGGGTTTGTGTGTGGGTGTGTGTGGGTAGGTGGGTGGGTTGGAAGAGCGCGTCGGTCTCTGTCTGGCCAAGGAAGGCGGGCGGTTGGCTCACCCCCCCACCTCCGTGGGGGAGGGGGGGCTGCTCTGACGCCCCCTCCCCCCACCAGGGACGTTCTTGGGGGAGGGGGGCTGCTTTGACGCCCCCTCCCCCCACCAGGGACATTCTTGGAGGAGGGGGACTGCTTTGACGCCCCCTCCCCCCACCACGGATGTCCTTGGGGGAGTGGGGGCAGCTGAAAGGACAGAAGCCACGCTCCACCCCACCCCACTCCGACCCCCGGGTTAAAGGAAGCTCTGCCAGGGCTACATTGACAGGCTGCAGTCCCACAGGCGGAGAGCCCCTTTCTCTTGATAGGGGAAGGTCGAACCTGTTGGGCTTTCTACCTAATCCAGGCAGTTCTCGATTTACAACCGTTCGTTTAGTGACCGCGACAAAGGGACCTTGTGACCGTTTGTCACACTTGATGACCGTTGCGGCATCCTTTTCCCCCCCACCCCCCAAGGTCACGCAATCGAAATTCAGATGCGTGGCCACTGACTCGCCTTTATGACGGTGGCGGTAGTGTCCCTCTGTGTGTGTGTGTGTGTGTGTGTGGCATGATTCCCTCTTTTGCGACTTTCTGATGAGCAAACATCCAACGGGGAAAACCGGATTCATAGAACAATGGTGTTAAGTGAGGCGGTGATTTCACCTAATAACGGCGGGAAGGAAGGCCGTAAAATGGGGCAAAATTTACTTAGCCACAGAAATTTGGGGCTCGGTTGCGGTCGTAAGTCGAGGACTACTTGTAGGGGCTTCTTTTTTTTTAAGGGGGAGTGGGGAACGGGTGATTCTACTCTGGGCAGAGAGAAAGGACCTGGAGAAAGAGGCGAGGGTAACCTAAGCCAGGACACCCCCCTTCCCCCTTATAATTGGGTTCACAAGATACTCCCAACTTAATAGACAAACCCGCTTTCCAGATTTGCAGTATGTTCAACTTGAAACTAATCTTAAGTATCTAGGTTTGGTCAGAATGCTAAGTCACACATGAAAAATATCCCAACTATGGTCAACACTAGCCAATATACAGTTGCTGGGCCTTGAACTAGGCCAATGTCAAGGTGTTACGTGAACACTGCCGTCTGCAGATTGGACCAGCTAATTCTGCCTTCCCCTTCTCTCTTTATCAGAATGTGATGAACAGGAAACCAGTCCTAGCAGGTGTAGTAGCAGCATCTTAGGGTGCAGATATGTGGAGAGGAAAGATTTTGGTTGCAAGGTTTCTATTAAAATGCGGGGACGTGTGTTGGGCCCCGTTTCCTCTAGGCTTCCAAAATCCGAAAGGAATTGGCAATTGTGGGTTTGTCTCCGTACGTCGTGTGCAGAAAGCGATCTCTTTTCTTGAGCCCGAACTCAAGGAAATCGGGGACAAGGACTAGGAACTCTGAAATATTGCACAAAATTGATGCCAAATTTTGCAGAACTGCGAAAAAGGAAAGAGGGCTGCAAAGAATTTAAACAAACCCCAAATCTCATTGCTTTGAGTTGACTTATAAAATGTAATAAATAGCACAGGAGCTACAGCCTCCACCTTTCGGTGCAGTTAGGAGTTGCTGACTTCTCAGGACCAGATAAATGTTTAGGGGGCTGAAGGAATCTTGGCCTTCTAAAGCTGAACTTCACAACAACTACTTGGAAACAGACAAATTGCGCTCACAGGAGGTTCGTTGAGCCTGCAGACTGCTTCTTTGGGATTAAGCGTGTTGCAGCCATGATACATGGCGTAATAATGCTGCTTATGACAGATCCGACTTTTGGTTCAGTTCTGTGTTCCATAACAAGTAAAATTAGAGAAATTTCGCCACATCTGGAGGAGGCATTACAAAAAAACAATCAGCAGGCTGGAATAGCGCAGCTATTCCCCTCTGGTTATATTTTCTTACTGCTCTGCACAAATAGGGAGTCTTAATAGACTTCAGCTAATGTTCTTTGTTTTCTGAGCAAATTGCCAACATCAGAATTAATGGTATTAATAGAATGCGAGGCGGATGTTGCAGCAATACATGTATAATGCTCCTGATTCTTACTGTGTGGACTTACTGTGAGACTTTTTGAAAGGACCCCGGTGCAGCTCGGGAAAGTGTTATTTCTTCAAACCAAACATAGGCAAAAATTTCTCCCCTCTGAGTCACCCTCAAATATTGTTCCATTGGTGAGAGCCGCCCTTCGATATTAGGGTGCTGCCAAAATACAAGCATGAGTATTTTTTTTTTTATTCTGCAGGGCTTTTCGAATTTGCAGCAATGTGTTAACTGTGCAGCCCAACTTGGCTGCACCAGTGTGTGTGTGTGTGTGTGTGTGAGAGAAGGGGGATGGGCATCTTATATGGAATACATGTTTCTTGGGGAAAGTTTCTTGCATGGTGTGGGTTTGTCCCTAATTGTGTCATTTGAGCAGCTCTCGATACGTTTGGCATATTTAGTCATTTGAGCCCGAGAGGTTGTGGGGGAAATCACAAGCCCAGAGGAACAGCTTGCACCTTCCTTGGCCTATTCTGTTATTCCTTCCCAGCGATCAAATGCAAACTGTTCTTTCAAAAGTTGGCCACCAGAGCGGTTAACCACATAGCTTTCTTTTCTGCTTTGCTACACAAAGTGTTTTTGATGTGTGCTGCTTCTTCCTAGCAACTTGGAAACACCCTTATTCTTCAGCCGCTCCATTCAACACTAGTGTGTTAAGATTAAAAAAACAAAACAAAACTAGAAATATATATGTTCCTTTCCCAACATTTTCATTTCCTTTGCTTAGACTGCTGTATTTTTGTCTCCTGATTTGTCCTGGATATGACAGCAGAATGCTAAAAAGAATTTCACTTAAAGTACAGTATGCTTTTTTGCATCTTTTTTTTTTTATTTGCCAAAAAGAAGAGCTAAATTTGTTTGTCCTTATACTGGAAGATCTTGTAACTAATGCAATTGGGATACTAAATAATTTCCGTTTTGCTATGCTTTGCCAACTCTTCAGCAATTCAGTTTTACCCCCAAAGAGGCAAAATAGTGCTCCTTTTGAGAGAGATTTTTGCCCTTCCTACTATTCCATATATCTCAGCACTTAAGGCATTTCAAGGAACAGCAGCAGAGAGAACTGCCCACAAATCATCAGTTGTACCTATTCTTGATTTCAGATTTTGTAGTTTTCTTTTGTTTTTTCCCTTCCCAAAATGGTCTGACATGGTTGTGGGGAGATCAATTGAAAGAGAGAAAGAAATAATGGAAAGGCAAACGGGGGTGGGTGTGGGTGGGTGGGTAATATCCAACAATGAAATTAACTATCAACGCTCCTAAGGCCATATCCAGATTGCAGATTCACTTGGGTTAGTGTTTTTCACCCTCAACAACTTGTGAATGTGTAGACTTCAACTCCCAGCTGGCTGGAGAATTCTGGGAATAGAAATCCACACTTTCTAAAGCTGCCATGGTTGAGAAACATTGATTTGGTCCTAACTATTGGCCAAATAGTTACTGACCAAATTAGGGACGTGGTGGCTCAGTGGCTAAGATGCTGAGCTTGTCGATCGAAAGGTCGGCAGTTCAGTGGTTTGAATCCCTAGTGCCGCGTAACGGGGTGAGCTCCCGTTACTTGTCCCGGCTTCTGCCAACCTAGCAGTTCAAAAGCACGTAAAAAAATGCAAGTAGAAAAATAGGGACCACCTTTGGTGGGAAGGTAACAGCGTTCCGTGCGCCTTTGGCGTTGAGTCATGCCGGCCACATGACCACGGAGACGTCTTCGGACAGCGCTGGCTCTTTGCCTTTGAAACGGAGATGAGCACCGCCTCCTAGAGTCGGGAACGACTAGCACATATGTACGAGGGGAACCTTTACCTTTACCTATTGATGAAGGCCATATCATAACTGACCACTGCACTTTTCTTGAAAGACCTTTCCAATGGAATCCAGTTTATCTCCAACAGGACAGTGACCAGCACACATTTATGAAACTCTTTCCTTTTTTAAAAAAAAAATTAACATGCTCTTCACGGTGCTAGGATGCTGCATGCCACCAGTCCCCCTCCCCTCCTGGCGCCGCTTCTTTGCAAGACTAACCATTGCGTATCTTTGCTCAGAGCTAAAGGTGGACGGTGTAGACATGGGAACCGAGGGCGGGTGTTCCTAGCCAAATAGCAGGGCATGGCAGAAAGTGAGGAAGCTGGCGACGACGCCCAAGACCCACCTGTCCGCCTCTGGGTACGACGGATGGGCGTCTACTGCGATGAGAACCAAGCAACATGGCTGGTGGCACCAGAAGAGGTAAGCTCCCTCGTCTCCTTGCTTCCGTGCCTGGGTTGATTAGGTGCCGATTTTGGCCTTGAGCTTGTCGCGATTTCCTTTTGTGCTTCTCCTTTCGCTCTAGGAAGGAGGGACGCTAAAAGCCCGGATCAGAAGAATCCCCGTCCCCCTGGGTGAAGCCGTGCGCCCCAGCCGCCTTCCTGCTTCTCAGCTGCCCCACATGTGGCAGCTCTCAGAGGGGCCGCAATACCGGGACAGTAACTCTCGCATCTGGGACATTGAACATCACTTAACGGTAAACCTGGCTCGTTGGAGAACTGGTGGAAATCTGGTCCCGACCATCGTCCCGTCGGCTGGGCTCTTAAACAATAAACGCGCCTTTGGGTCTTGCAGGTCATGGGAGTGGAAGAGCTGCTGTTGAAACTCCTGACCAGCAATTAAACCCGGTGAGCTGCTTCTCCTCTTCCTCCTCCTCCTCGTCTCCCTCCCCAACCTCCCTTGCGTTCATACGTTTAGTTTCCGCTTTTTTCTTTGACTCACGGTGGTTCTTCCATGCCTTTTTTGTTTTGTGTTTTGTCTTTCAGGAGCTGCAACGCCAGGACAGTGGTCCCGTTTGGGTTTTCTTTTTATGTGTTAACTCCTAGCACTCAAAAATGCCGCTGCCCGCGAGGCGGAGCACGGCGTGCGCCTCTCTTTACCGCCCACAGCAGCATCGCCCAAGAGCTTAGGACAGGCAGTCGGGAAGAGTGCCATGGCCAGTTGAAAGCGGAGGGGGCAGTTTTAGGTAGGCAAGACCGGACCCGCCCCTCCCCTGCCGGAAAGCTGGTCCAGGATACCGTGATTGAAAGAGTGGAGGAACAAGCCATGTGCGATGATGGCCTTAGCCCTCCTGCTTGCAGGAGGCCTGGAGGGTGGGGAGGGGGCACAGGGGGAAGGTCTCGAAATGGAAGGATGGGACCCCCCCACCCCATGGGCTTCTGGATCCAGTAAAGCAGGTCGCAGCTTCTTTCTTTGAATGAACCGCCTTGAAAAATACTGTGCTCTTTTTTTTTTTAATCGACCGAGGATGTTTGTGTGTTTGGTTTTTTCATCTTGTTGATTTCTGGCAGCATCACCAGGCCGTAACACTGTTCCCTACATGTTTTGACAAGACTCAGTGACTCAGAGGGGAGAATCTCGTTTCCAAAATGCAGCATGTTAGGGGCCTTCCTCTCTCCCTCCGTCGTCTTCACCCTTCCCTCCCTCCCTCCCTCCCTTCCATTCCTTCCATCCATTCCTTCCTTCCTTCTTTCCTTCCTTCTATTCCTTCCTTCTTTCCTTCTATTCCTTCCTTCTTTCCTTCTATTCCTTCCTTCCTTCCTTCTATTCCTTCCTCCCTCCCTTCCTTCCTTCCATTCCTTCCTTCCTTCCATCCATTCCTTCCTTCCTTCTATTCCTCCCTCCCTCCCTCCCTTCCTCTCTTGCACAAGGAACTACTATCATTCAAGTTCCATTCAGTTCCAACACCATTTCTTCAACGCATGCAATCCTTTTAAGTACTTTAGTTTTCATCCTTTTGAGTGCGTTAATTATTTGAAAGTTTGTTTAACGGCGTTTGTAGCAAGGGAAGGTGGTGCCAATGTGTCTTTCTAAGCGTCATTCCAATATTTTGGACAGGAGCCTAACAACTTATCAGTTGATAACGCTCAGGATCTACTTAAGGAAAGAACATCTCTCTCTCTGGCTGGGTTTATTTATCATACTAAGCTAAAGAAGTTTTGATTATGACTTAGTCTATGATACGAAGCTATTTACTGTAATGGTGGCCTTTGCTTTTGTTGCATGAATCCATCCGAGGCTTTTATTTTGGCAAGCTGGATTTAAGCAAACCCAGGTTAGCACATTGTGGTCCTTCTCGAACTTTCTCCATCCAATGTTGTCTCTTGCTTGGCAAGCTCTGGGGAAGGCAGAACTCACCTGGACTCTGCCGGCTCTCTCAGGTGGCATGTGGGAGATTGACAGCTGACCCTTTTCAAGCAAATGGACTTAAAAGAGGTTGAAGAAAACTTTTGACTAGCTGGATCCTCTACTACCAGATTCCAGATGGGTGATGGGTGGGAGGGGGAAATGGAGTTTCTTTTAGATACGGCCTCAGGTACTTTGGCCCTCTGTTTTTCCCAGGATAATATTTCCCTTTCTGATTTTTGTTCTAGTTTCTTGGTAATGGCTGCAAAAGACCCCTGTAAGAAACATGCCTGTGAAATCCAAAAATGTTTGCAAGGTAAGCGGCTTCTCTTAATTTTATAGCTTTTGAATTATTGTTAAGTAAATAGATGCCTTTTCCATGCTCTTCAAAGCGTTTTTAGAAAACATAGTTTAAACGTAACCAAAATAATTCCCAGCAGTCTGTGTGCAGGTTTTATTGCTTGCTGAGGTGGTGGGGCTGAAAGTTACTTCTTTCTGGAATAAATGAGATTTCCTTCCAAGTTTTAGCTATTCATGTTTATCCCAAATTGGTGGAGGAAGTAGCTTTTGCCATGTTTTTCTACTTTGCGTTCTTTCTTTTACAACCTGCTGTGTTTTAATAATGTTGAAGCTCTTCAGAACAACGAAATGCCACAGGTGTCCGATCTGGTCTATATTTGTGTGAATTTCTTGCGCCCTGTGAGCAATTCTTAAAATGCCAGCTTAAATTGTAGCCTTTAATTAAAACCTTCCTTCCAGACCTAGATGGAGAATTGTAGGGCTAGAAGGGACCTTAGAGGTCTTCTATTCTCACCCCCTGCCCAAGGTCTCCCTGATATACCACATTTGAGTAGTGATATCGCTAAAATTTGAACTAACCAAGTATTTTGATCTCGCATTAAATTTGCATGAATTAAAATTAAGTGCAGTTAACTGTAGCCATGAACTTCATTTTGTTTTCTTGCCTTGTCAAAAAATTGTGATTTGATTACATCTTCTGGAGATCAGGGGGTTGGACTGGAAGACCTCCAAGGTCCCTTCCAACTCTGTTGTTCTGTTCCGTTCCGTTCCGTCCCGTCCCATTCCATTCCCAATATTCTATTCTATTCTATTCTATTCTATTCTATTCTATTCTATTCTATTCTATTCTATTCTATTCTATTCTATTCTATTCTATTCTGTCCTATCTATTCTATTCCCAATATTCTATTCCATTCCATTCCATTCTATTGGAAAGTGCGTGGAGTGTGTTCATTTCTGGTTATCGGCCTATTTTGAAAGGGATTCTGCCCGCCCAGCTTCCATTCTTTCACCATTTGGTCTTTCTTTCTTTCCTTGCAGCAAACAACTACTTGGAATCTAAATGCGAAGCGGTCTTCCAGGAGATGAGACGTTGTTGCGCCCATTACCCTAAGGGCGTATCCCTCTCTTGTTCGGGCTTTAAAGGGGAGGGAAAAGAGAGCGAGAAGCAGGTACCAGATTCCAACCCACCCCCCACTCTGAAGCCCTGAGGGAAGCCCGCTCTCTGGGACGGCCCGAGCAGCCTTACCTGCCGTCTACGTAGCTACCGCGCTATACCTCAAATCTGTTCTCTTGCACGGGAGGGCTACTCCCAAGACGCAAGCCAGCCGGCTCCTCTTCCTCCAGACCCTGACGGAAGGCCGGAAGGCAACAACAGCCCGTCGTCATCGTCGGTCGAAAAGTAGAGCCCCTAGCACTTTTGTTGTCAAAACAATGTTAACTGCTGTAGCCTTATTGTAAAGTAGATTGGAGTAGAATGCCTTGATTTGTTGAATCGTCCTGTGTCCTTTTGTTCTATTGTCCACAGAAGAGCAATATTCCACTGGAAGGTGAAATCCAGCCTGTTTTTTTTGCTGGGCGTCAAATTTCAGACCTAATCTCGTTTTACGTGTGGTACGTGTAAGCTAAGTCCTTTGTTGAAACGCCAAGATTTTACGCTCGCGAAGTCCTCGTTCCTCGCTGTGTTCGAAAGTTGTCCTTTCCCGCTAAACGGGAACGGGCTGGCAACTAAAGCCGAGAGAGCCAGCTTTTTAGCTCAGCGGTAGAGTTTCTCCGAGGTGCCCGTTTTTTTCGCCGGGCAAAGTTGAGACAAAGCCGCCTTTGGGCTTTCGATTCAGTAGCGGTCAAATCCAATTGCACAATATTGGTTTTATGTCACGCTGTGATAGAAGCAGCTGATGTTCAGGGATAGCTACATATTGTGTGCGGTGTGGCCTCCTTTCCCTTATTTGTAAAGCAATAGGCACTTTTCTGGAAAGCCAGAGTTGCAAGTATTATTTTTAAAATTTCAACGTTTTTGCTATTGATGCAGATGAAATCCCATTTCTATGACGGGAATAAGAATGTTAAGTGTAGCACTCCTTTCCTCTTCACACACACACCCATTTAGACTGAATCAAATGTTTCCCCAAGGGATTTTGAGCTCCCTTTACAACTCTCGCTGTTCTGTATCTCCTGCCTCCTCGGTGTCGAAACCATCACAAAATAACTGCAATGTTGTGTATACTGTAAGCAAGCTTTTAGCAAAGCTGGTGGAATGAGATTCTGACCTTGTTGCAGTTCAATAAATACTCGATCCATACAAGGATATGATCATGTTATCTTAATACTTAAAAGCCCAAGAGAATAAACTTATATTTTGAATCGCCTTTCTTGGATAGAATTATGCTGAAGACAAGACAAAGTAACTTTCTCATCTTATAGTAAAATCTTAAGTCACTGTTCTGACCTCAGCTTACTTAGAAAGCATGAAGCAAAGTCTTAGTCCTGTAAAACCTCTTTTATTTATCCGACTCTAAATTACTTTCATTTACAGTCCGCATGGCTTGATAAACAGTCTGTCAGAGGAAGGTTATCAACACCCACCTATCTCACATGGAACGCTGCCAGAGAGCTAATTTCCAGACACAGGGCAAGGCCAAACTTGGCACAGAGTCACAAGCAGAAGTTTCAAATCTTGAATCGGCCAAATGAACTAACTGCTTCCTGCAAAAGCTCACGTCCCGTTCGCTCTTCTTTTATGTCTTATGGGAAGGGCCAATTGTCTCCAAGCCTTACTCCCAAGTCGACCCTGTTTTCTTAATGGTTCTTGTCTTCTGGCAGCTCTGCGCATGCGCACATTGGGAACAGGCTCCCGCTGTTCTTCTGCCTTGCTGATGTCAAACTCCGGAGGCTGCACATAACTATCAGATGGCCTTGGCCCCCTCACTGCCTCCGATGCAGAGCCCTCATCCAAGCTTTCCCCAGCCCCCAGGACTGGCCCAAGTTCTCCCCAACCTCCTCACTGTCTGACTCTGCTGCCAGCTTCACTGGCCGCCGGCAGGCCACAACAGTCACCGAGAAATACATAGCTGTTAAAAAGTCTGGATAGTTGACACAAGAATCTGATGACTGTTGTGAGCAAACATTCAGTAGCCAAAGTCAAACCATGAAATCCTCCAAATATATATATATATATATAATGCTCTAGAATGGAATCCTGTATTCCTGTTGTCAGCTCAGTATAAACTGGATATAGGCATGTGCCCTAACTAGAATAGCCAGAATCATGTGAGTTGCAGTTCAAGGCCATACATTGATCATACAGAATTGGATAGACCAGTGATCTGAGTTGACTGCAATTTTCCAAGCTCAGGAAGTGTTATTTGTGGTAGAATACCAGTGGTGGAATTCAAATTTTTTTACTACCTGTTCTGTGGGTGTGACTTGGTGGGCATGGCAGGGGAAGGATACTGCAAAATCTCCATTCCCTCCCCCCTCCTGGGGGAAGGATATTGCAAAATCTCCATTCCCACCTCACTCCAGGGGAAGGATACTGCAAAATCCCCATCCCTTCCCCACTCCTGAGGGAAGGATATTGCAAAATCTTCATTCCTTCCCCAATCTGGGGCCAGACAGAGATGGTATTTGCCAGTTTTCCAAACTACTCAAAATTTCCGCTACCGATTCTCCAGAACCTGCTGAATAGCACCCCTGTGAATACTATACAGCCTGGAATTAATAAAAATGAATGTCTGTATTGAAAGAGACATGTATCTGAAATAGACCCACTGTTTAGTAGGACATGCAACAACAACTTGTCAATCTGATGCGTCCTAGTTTCTTGGGAGGCAGTAATTCCAAGAATCATGGCTTATTAACTAATTGTATAAACTAATTAGCAAAGCATCAGGTTGCCCACTAATTCAGCAAACATCAATGGCCTCACGGGACAAAATTATTCTGAATAATTAACATCATAAGCCTTTTCAACTTTTCTTTTTAATTCTTCTAGGCTTAATTCCCAAAAACAAAATACATGAACCCCACACTTAACGAGAGAGTTTCCATTTTCCAAGAGATCTGATGGCATAAGATTGAATAAATAAAAGAGACTCCCCAAAAACCATTTAATTCTCACTTCAAAACATTTGAATATTGTATAAAAACATAGAACCATAGATTCCTCCAAGTCTTGACACAGAGGGCTGATAGGATTTTGAACTCAGTTTTGCAACTCTGCCTCACCCAGGTAAATCAAAATTGACCCAATTTCTATAACGTTTTAACTTCAATCGCCAAAGGTGCCTCAGTGTGTGTGCAAGTAGAAAAACACACATATCGTGTTTCCCTGATGATAAGACACCCCCTGATAATAAGCCCAATTGGGCTTTTGAGCGCATGCGCTAAGATAAGCCCCCCCCATGAAAATATATAAGGTCAAATGCTTATTTTGGGGTTCAAAAATATAAGACAGGGTCTTATTTTTGGGGAAACAGTGTATGTATGTGTGTATATATGTGTGTGTGTTTTTCTATCGAGGCACCTGATCTACCCCAACATGTGGGAGGGAGCATACTGCTTCCTTTTCACCTTTCAGCTCCAATCCAGGAGCCCTCAAGCAGTCGCATTCATGACAAACCATTTTATACCAAATTTATATTTTGCTGATAAAAAGAAATAAAGGGAGACTAGTATAGATCTATTACAAGCTATTTAGCTCTCATCAGCTAGCCATACTCTTACTTGGATTCGAGCCCAAGTTCGAATCCGAGTAAGGGCGTGGCTAGCTGATGAGAGCTAAATAGCTTGAAATAAATCTATACTAGTCTCCCTTTATTTCTTCATCAGCAAAATATAAATTTGGTATATATATGTATATATGTATACACACAGCGTCTGATTGCAACACCAAGCAACTGTGTCTGCATTGCACATTAATAGTTTTGGGATTCTAGGAGAAAGACCCATCTGTTTTAAAATGTTGTAGACAAGTGGGCCATTCACACTCCTGCAAGGAAAGAAAAGTATTTTAAAAACATTTAAACAGATGACTGAATCCAAAGTGTTGCATAAAAGAGCTGTCAGTTGAATGTCTTCTACTAAAATGCTTTTAAAATATTTTTTTCCCCCTGCCTCCATCCTTTATCCCCCAAAGGGTGATATTATATTCTCTCGTGTTTTTCCCAATAGCTCATCAGTCAGCTTATTCAAGCTCCCTCTTGTGTTTAAAGGATTCCTAGCATGGGAAGTATTTTAGACATCTGGTAGATAATAAAAACCTTGAAAATGGCCTCTGGTCTTTCTGAAAATTCACCAAAGTTCTGGGGATCTTTGTAATGGTTGAAACTTGTCTTGCAAGAGCTGAGAATTCTACTGCCCAAGGACTACAGTGACCATCAATTTCCTTTGGGGAGCAGGAACGACAAGACACATGATATGAATACATAGTCCCACATATATAACTTTAATCTTTGCTCAACTACTAGAAAAGGCCATTATTCAAGACCAGCATTTCGCAAACTTGGCAACTTTAAAGATATATGGACTTCCCAGGTATAAAAGGTAAAGGTAAAGGTTCCCTTCGCACATATGTGTTAGTTGTTCCCGACTCTAGGGGTCGGTGCTCATCTCCGTTTCAAAGCCGAAGAGCCAGCACTGTCTGAAGATGTGTCATTGGCCAAAGGCGCACGGAACACTGTTACCTTCCCACCAAAGGTGGTCCCTATTTTTCTACTTGCATTTTTTACGTGCTTTCGAACTGCTAGGTTGGCAGAGGCTGGGACAAGTAACGGGAGCTCATCTTATTACGCGGCACTAGGGATTTGAACCGTTAAACTGCCAACCTTTCAATCAACAAGCTCAGCATCTTAGCCACCGCGTCCCAGGTATACCAGCTGGGAAATTCTGGAAGGCCATTCCTTTAAATTTAAAAAAATGCTAAAATCAAGACCATGCCAAGCCCCTGCCATTCAGAGACGACAATCCTTGATTAAGATGAATCTACAGCTCAGTTTAATATATGGTAGCAAAAACCTCTTGCCTAACCTCCCAGATTTGGAAGTTCATGGTCAGAATCATCACATTAAACCAGTGGTGGGATTCAAATAATTTAACAACTGGTTTGCTTGCCCCACCCACCACTGCCCACATGCCCTCGCTTCCCCCAAGTATTTCTTTGCTAACCTGATCTCTGGCTCCGCTGTGTTTCTCGCCACCGTGTGCAGGGAAACAAAATTTTGTAGGACCAAAAAGAAAAAAGTTAAATCAATTCCAACTTCGTGAGATCTTTTTTTCCCCGCATAAGTTGGAATGGATTGCTTGAATTTTTTTTTTAGTCCCACAAACTTTGCACACGATGGAAAGAAACAAAACAGAGCTGGAAATCAGGTTAGCAAAGAAATGCTTGGGGGAAGTGAGGGCATCTGGGCGCCAGGCACTGAAACGGACCCCTCTTTCTCTCCACCGGTTCGCCGAACTCAACGGAAAATTAGTTATCGGTTCTGCTGAACCGGTGTGAACCGGCTGAGTGCCACCACTGCCTAAAACCAACTAGCTCATGGGTTTGTCTTCCAGTTTTGTTGTATTTGTACAGTAGTTTTTAGGAGCCCAACACCAGCTGTTAAATACATATAAGTTCTCAACTGAGAATTGTAGATAAAGTTCTTTCACCAACCGATTCTAAAACTTCTACTCAACAAGGGATGAGAATTTCTGTCACTTAAGCTGTGTGGTTATTGAGTGAGTGGCGTCCGATTTTAGAACTTTGGCCATTAAGCGAAAAACAGGGCAGTTCAGCAAATCCACTCCCCCCCCCGCCTTGACTTTGTCAGAAATTCACCCATGGTGATCACGTCCCCCCCCAAATCGTTAAACACATGCCAAGGGCCCGAATTTGGATCGCGTGGCCATGGAGATGCTGCGGCTCTTAGAAGCCACTTTTTTTCAGCATCGCCATAACTTTGTTATAAATCAATTGTCGTAAGTTGAGGTCTATTTGTAACTCTCCGCAAAAGCAGTGAGAGCAAACTGAACTGGAATTCCAAGGTGTTTTCCAGATCGCTTAACGGGCCTGAGAAAGAGGAGACCTACCGTATTTTTCAGCGTATAAGACACACTTCCCTCTTTCCCGTCTAAAAATGGGTGAAAATTTCGGTGCGTCTAATACAAGGAATGTTGTGGTGGGAGCATCCATCTGGATGGATGCTGGGAAGCAGAGGCAGATTTTTTTTTCTTGTTTTCCTCCCCCAAAAAGCTTTGTGCATCTTATAGACCGGATCGTCTTATACTCCGAAAAATATGGTATTTGTTAGTTGAGGCTGGACAGGTAACTTGTGGTAACTTTTTGCTAGTCCACCAGCGACAGCGAAGTTTCCTCAGTTTTAGCCATTAATAAAAGCACTTTCCTAGCTCTCAATTAGAGCTTACTTTTCTCACACAAGTCTAGGCAAGCCTAGTTTCCCATCCACGCCAAGAGAAGATGGCTGAGCAGCAACAGCGACAATCGTACACACATGCCTTCCGCTTTCCCTAAGCCAATATTCTTCAAATGTGACTGTCTGGATTTCCCATTACCCCATCAATATGGTTGTAACACGCCAACATGGGGACTTGCTCCTGGTCTGTTCGAAACCCTGCGCTAAGAATGGAGTTTTCTAGTTGCCTAAATTCAAGTGAGGAGATCAGTGATTTGCTGGGACAGCCAGTCGGCCTTTAAATCTGGAGGTTCCAAGTGGTCAGAATATCAAGCTCGTTCTTTTCCTTGGATTGTCTCGTGAAGCCAGAGGATGGAAGTTTTGCAAGATAGTCCTGTATGTTCTTAGAAACATATGATGAACCCTGGTGGTGTGTATGATCAGCCCTGATGGCGCAGTGGTTAAAGAATGCAGAACTCTATCGCTCTGTGTGCTCTGCCCACTGCCAGGAGTTCGATCCTTATGAGGCTCTAGGTTGACTCAGCCTTCCATCCTTCCGAGGTCGCTAAAATGAGGACCCAGATTGTGGAGGGCAACATGCAAATGCTATTTCTACCTTGTCAACCACCCCAGAGAGTGCTGTAGGCACCACTGGGCGGCATATAAGTGTAAATGCCATTGCTATTGCTAAAAAACACTCTTAGGACGGTGTAAAGCTTTTACGGCACAGAGTTCTATCTATGAAAACCAATGAAAGATGTTCCAGGCCAAGAAAGCTGCTGTTATTCAATAATGTATGCATTTATAGGAACTTCCATTCTACGAGCTAATGTCGCTATCGCACAGATAAGACGGCAAGGATTTTGGGAGAAAGCATACCTAAAAGCATATCTTTCTGCTCAATCTTGCGATTCCTATAAAGGGAAACAAACTTCAGGCAACGGAGCTCAGAATTGGGCTGCTTTTGGCTCTGGGCTGAAGTTAATTCTCCTATGCAGAGCTCAGGGCATAAGCAAACCTACTCAGCTGCCCCTTCACCCTGCACCCCGCCGCCCAGGAGTTCTGAACCAGACGGTCGAGACTCTCCACGTTCATTCCACTCCTGGGATTCGCTAGCAGTTGCTACCAAGACTCGAAATGTATCTTTGAACAGCTGCAAACGCCAAGACTCTAATCCTGCAGCCGTTCCACTAACAGAGAACCCAGTTTTTAAGATATTTTCCTTGAGAAGGCAGCGCTACCGAGTCTTCCAGACTTCCGGTCAGACAAAGAGGACTATAGAGAATCCCACACAGCAGAGTCAAAGAGTTTCCACAGATTATTCCAGTAATCTTGTAGTATAAATTAAAAAAAACAACAACAACTTGGATGAGCGAGTCCAAGAAGCTGTTGCTCTCAGGCGCTGTTAGGAAGTCAGGAAGAAGAAGAAGCCGTTTCTGGACGGCAGTTATTTCAAGACGTGCTCTTGTCCCGTCCTGTTGACCTGCTTGCTTCCTTCCTGTTGGTCTGCTAGGAGATACTCTTGACACTTCATGAGAACACATAAGCAGATGCTATGAGTCCTTCCACAGTTAAGTTGTCTAGGTTATGCCAGTAAAGGAAGAAAAAAATAATAAAAATAAATGTGTGGCAGGGTGGGAAGGGCAATTCTGCAGCTTTCTGGCATCTCAGGCAGGGATCGAATGCATCTTGAAGATCGATCCAAATTCCCTCCTGTATCAAATTAAAAAGGAGGAACAAAATAGGAAGTGGGGGGGGGGGAGGGAGAAGGCTAGCGGCGGTGTTTCCGGTTGCTGCTTTGCAGGTTATCAAAAGAAAGGCAAGTCAGGAGGCTGAATGCTTCAGTGGGCTATTCGGGCAGTAGAGGAACCAAGCGGGAGATGGCCTCAAGACCAGCAGGTAGAAAGGCAGATTGGGCGAGATTTTCCTAAGAAGCCATGCCGAGCAAGAAGCCGCCAACGAAACCTCCGGACAGCAGGACGTTCCTCTTCAGAAAACTGACCACCTGGAGTGAGAAAAGTGAGAAACTTTACAGGGGCTGAGCTTGGACTCTTCGTACTTCTGCTGCTAGAGCTATTAAAAAGTTCCTCACAAAGAAGGGTTTCCTTTGGGAACAGCGGGGAGATAAAATGACACAGAGTAAAGCCAGCTACTTGGACTACTGTTATGGCCTGCCAGCTGCCAGCTGCCGGCCCCTCCAGCAGCTGAATCGGAGGAGGAGGAGGAGGAGGAGGCGTGGGAGTCAGGACCAGCATCAAGGCAACCTGGGAGCTCCAAGAGGGAAGAGAGAATGGAGCTGGCAGAGAGATAGAGACAGAGGCGGAGCCTGAGCCGTCCGTCAGCCCTCAGATGGAGAGTCAACAACCCCCAGGTCTGGAGGTGGCTGATGAGGAAGAGGAGGAACATCTGGGTCCAGTGTCTGATGCACGGATGCACAGAAGGCAGAGAGGAGAGGAGAGCAGTGGAAATCTATGGGCCGATCCTTGGGATGGAATAGCACCGCTGCTAGCGAAGTCCCATCCTAGCTCTGGAGATAAAAGGCAGAGGGTGGAGATGAATAGCTGTGGCAGACAGCTATTCATCTCCCTGTCGGACAGTCTTATTAGCCTGGGGTAAGAGAGAGAGACTTTTTGCCAGGGCTGCTGTCGCTTCTAATAAAGGAAACATTTATTTAACTACAGAGGGTTTGTCGTGTTTGGGAGCCGGGTCAGAACAACTACAGTGGATCAAAAGCAGCACTCGGCAAAGCTCTCCTGCTGTCCAGAATTGTCTCCCTCTTCCAGCTTAGGAAATACCTAACTGCTTTGCAGTTGGGCATCTTTATGTAAACTTGAAAGATATTTCTTGATGAGCCTTGGTGGCGCAGTAGACTAAAGCGCTATTAAGTAACACCAGCTGCCTGCAATTACTGCAAGTTCAAATCTCACCAGGCTCAAGGTTGACTCAGCCTTCCATCCTTTCGACGTAGGTAACATGAGGACCTGGATTGTGGGGGCAATAAGCTGACTTTGTTTAAAAAAGAACACCGCTTTCGGGGGTGGGGGTGGGGCGAAAGCCCTACTAAGCAGGTATATACAAAAGTATGAAGGCTATTGCTTAATGCATTGTAAGCCGCCCTGAGTCTCCGGAAAAGGACGGCATATAAATCGAACCAATAATAAATAATAATGTTGGGTGAACCCTGCTATTCTGGTTCCCCAGCAATGATTTACACTTGAGCGGTTTCTGTGGAACCAACATTTATGGTTTCTCCAAAATTCCGTGGCTAAACAAGCCGAGGTTTAACCCGCGTAAGCCCTGTCTAATAACTGACTGATCAGCTCACGGAAGGTTTACAGACCAGGTGGAGCAAAGATCGCAAAAGCTAACAAAGGGAATTGAGCAAAACCACTGACTGTTGTCTGATTTAGTGGATTCCTCAAACGGTGATCTATCAGGCCAAATGCAATCTAAGCAGACACGCCCTGTGGATGTCCAGAGATTTGTCAAAATTGCTTGGAGGGCAAGGTGACAATGTAGGGGTGTAGTCCTATCTACACAGATTTGGGAAGGAGTGTTTGTGAAACTCTGTTAGGGCATTCGCTGACGTGTCTGGGTGTCTTTGTGCTGGAGAAAACTGTGCCACTGATTTTCCACAACTGTTAAAGTCAAGAAACCCACCACTCTTGACAGCGCTTAAGCTGCTGGCCGATCATCAGAACACCACACAAAAGTGGATGGAAGCGTGGAGTAGCTATTCCGCTCAAGATATTTCTGAGCATATTAATCCTAATAGTATATCTCCAGGATTTAATCTACCCCGACACATATGGGTGACATACAATAGAATTAGAACAACTCATGGGGTGTATGCCGACTCCCTGTATAAATGGGGAAAGACACCTTCAGCACAATGTGATTGCGGGGCCCCTCGACAGACTATCTAACATATAGTGAGGGAATGCTCTAACAGAAGGTATCCAGGAGATTTTAGGGACTTCCTCTGCGTAATGACGACAGCTACTGACTGGATCTCCAAACTCGACATTAAACTCTGAAATGTTATTTCTGTTTTCCTCTTAGGTTTTCTTACTGCTTTTTTTATTATTGTTTTAATTGTTTTAAGCTGTAAAAATGAAGTGTTTTAATATTGTGTGTGACCAGCCATACGCTAAATAAATAAAATCCACAACTGTGTAACTGTTACTTAGCTAGGAAGGAAAGCACAATCCTGCGAGGAGTGCAGATTGCTGAACTTAATTCTCTGACTCTCCTTCTCTATTGCATAATTATTCTGTTTTTCTTACTCGCACCCCAGCAATCAGCCCTCCAAAACCCATCTTTTCGCAGCTCTGGCTTTCAATCTCACCTCATCGAATTGACTCTTCACCTCCGGCGCCAGCTTGCTGGAGGTGCTACTAGAAAACTTCAGGTGCTTCTTAGCTTTGCTCACGTCTCGCTCAACCATCTTCCAGTCGATCTTGACGTACCCCGTGTGGTTTGCAAGCTGGAGCGGGGGAGAGGTTTCATGAAGCCAGGGTCTGCACGTAAAACCAGGTTTTCCTGGACCGTGTGCTCATTTCCCCAGTTGACTCACATCATAACAAACAAACAAACAAAAAAGGCATGCAAGGCAGACATTTTCCACCCAGGGAAGAGCAGAACTACTGCAGAATAGGATCTCAAACCCCCTGATCCTTGTCAGCAGCTCCAAAAGATACCACCATCTTATATCTAATCACCCTGCAAGACTGGCAGGGGTATGAAAGATCCAGACCCCTCAGCAATTGTCCTGATGTTAGCAATAGCAATGGCACTTAGACTTATATACAGCCCTCTCTAAGTGGCTTTTTACAGAGCCAGCATCTTGCCCTCAACAATCTGGGTCCTGAGTTTATCCACCTTGGAAGGATGGAAGGCTGAGTCAATAACAATAGCATTTAGACTTATATACCGCTTCACGGTGCTTTATAGCCCTCTCTAAGTGGTTTACAGAGTCAGCCTCTTGCCCCCAACAATCTGGGTCCTCATTTTACCCACCTCGGAAGGATGGAAGGCTGAGTCAACCTTGAGCTGGTCAGGATCGAACCTCTGGCAGTGGGCAGAGTTAGCCTGCAAAACTGCATTCTAACCATTGGAAAGGAAGGAAGGAAGGAAGGAAGGAAGGAAGGAAGGAAGGAAGGAAGGAAGGAAGGAAGGAAGGAAGGAAGGAAGGACAATAGCACTAGCACTTAGACTTATACCCTATTTCTCCCAAAAATAAGACATCCCCTGATAATAAGCCAATCGGGCTTTTGAGCGCATGGCAATAAGGCCAAGTGCTTATTCCAGGGTTCAAAAAAATATAAGACAGGGTCTTATTTTCGGGGAAACACAGTATATCACTTCGCAGGGCTTTTACAGCCCTCTCTAAGCGGTTTACAGAGTCAGCCTATGGCCCCCAACAATCTGGGTCCTCATTTTACCCACCTCGGAAGGATGGAAGGCTGAGTCAACCTTGAACCGGGTGAGATTTAAACTGTCAAATTGCAGGCAGCCGACAGGCAGCAGAAGTGGCCTGCAGTACTGCACTCTAACCACTGCATCACCGCGGCTCATTTACATGTAGTTCATGTTACTGAACTACAGGGGAGTCACACGTTTCATGTTCCTGATCTCTATAAGCAAAGATGTCCTACAGGTAACAGCAGGACATCCCATGAGATACAATAGCACAAGGCTGTCCCTGACTTGAATATGTCCATAGTCTAAAAAGATTCTATATTAAAAGATGAGTATGTCAGATCTGAAAGTGCCACATGGCCAAGTCAAAAAGCAGGAGACTAAAGGACTCCATTAAACTACCACCATTATTATCATGGCTACCGAGTGGTACAGTAGCCTAGAGGTGGATCTCTCGCCTCACAGTCAGGAGGCTGTGAGTTCGATCCTAGGTAGAGGCAGATGTTGCTCTCTCTGGGCTCAATTGAGAATGTATCTGCTGAACAAAACTCTGCATTGGCAACAGGAAAGGCATCCGGCCAGTAAACACTCAGCTCCATTCAGTTGCCCAGACTCCACCCCGCAAGGAATTATGAGGTCGTTAAAAGATGATGATTACTATCACTGCTACCATGAGATTAAAACATGAGGGTGAAGCTCTTGCTGAAGACAGATGCCTCCTTGTACTGCTGACCACTCCCATGCCCATGGTGCACAAACACCAACCTGGAGCAGAAAGAAGCCTCCTCCTACTGCGGTCGCTGCTAGTTTGCCAACCTTCTGGAAGATGAATCCAGTGCACCTGCAAATCAAAAACAGAGAGTGTCAAATAAAACAAGGCTAGATGGGAGTCAGTTCAATGTAGTGGTTCCGGGTACCAAGCTGAAAACCCAGGAGATTGAAGCCCCATTTTAGGCATGAAAACCAGGCCAAACACCAGGAGTTCTATCTTAGGCATGAAAGCCGGCTGGGTAACTTTGGGCCAATCACCAGGAGATTGGGAAATCTAGTCTCCACTTAGCCATGAAAGCCAGCTGGATGACCTAATGTATTTATCACCAGGAGACTGGGAGTTCTAGTGCCGCCTGAGGCATGAAAGCCGGTTGGGTGATTTAGGGCCAATTCTCAGGGGATTGAGAATTCTAATCCCACTTTAGCCACAAAAGCCAGCTGAGCGACTTTGGGCCAATCACCAGGCGACTGGGAGTTCTAGATTCAAAGTCAGCAGGATGACCTTGGGCCAGTCCCCCGCTGTCAGCTCTAGGAACGAGGACGCAAGGCCAGACTACTTCCGAAAAACCTTGCCCAAAAAACTGCAGGGACCAGTCCAGACAATCAGCAGAATTAAAAACTGACTTGAATGCACAAAAAAACCCCCCAAACTCATGATTTAAAGCATCGCCAAATGATCTGTAAAAAAAAAAAAAAAAAAAAAGTGGATATTTGAACCCCAGGAATTATGGCACCGCTTGACTGATCTTGCTCATCTGTCACCCATCCATCAATCCAAGCGCAACTTGCACAGAATAGCCTCACCATCCTGTGACGCCTCCAATCGCCAGCTGGGTGGCCACGTTGTATTTCTCCTCGTTGGAAGTTGAACTCGGTCCAAATAGTTTGCGCCACCACGGCTGATTCTTGGTGTATTCAGCCAGGTCCAGCACATCCTCATCACTGTTCTGCCTCCCTAAAAAAAAAAAATCAGGCCAAAATCATAAAACGGGGTGAAAAAAAAGAAAAATAATATCTGTGACTTACAGGAGAAGGAAGTTTAAAAGATAAAGGTAAAGGTTCCCCTCGCACATATGTGCTAGTCGTTCCCGACTCTAGGGGGCGGTGCTCATCTCCATTTCAAAGCCGAAGAGCCAGTGCTGTCCAAAGACGTCTCCGTGGTCATGTGGCCGGCATGACTCAACGCCAATGGCGCACAGAACGCTGTTACCTTCCCACCAAAGGTGGTCCCTATTTTTCTACTTTCATATTTTACGTGCTTTCGAACTGTTAGGTTGGCAGAAGCTGGGACAAGTCACGGGAGCTCACCCCGTTCCGCGGCGCTAGGGATTCGAACCGCTGAACTGCCGACCTTTCGATCGACAAGCTCAGCATCTTAGCCACTGAGCCACCGCGTCCCTCTTGAAGGAAGTTTACTCTGCAGCAAAAATGCAAAAAGAAGTGAAGTGGCAGAAACGTACTTTCTCAAATGCAATTGAATCAATCAATCAATCAGTCAATCAATCAGAATAGAGCTGGAAGGGTCCTTGGAGGTCTTTTCAAACACTGCTCTCATCCATGGATTGTTACCCATAATTTATTGAGTAGATGGGAAATGACATCATTTGCAAAACAGAAACAAAAACAATGGTTTGCTTCACAGGCAAAAATATTAATAAATCATAATCAAATCACAAACAAGTCAAGCATGTTTTAGCTTAGCATATTTTAGCCGCGGTTTTGCAGTGGTTAGAATGCAGCGATGCAAGCTAATTCACTGCTGACGGTCAGAGGAGTCATAATATCTCTATTATGCCAGTCTGTCTGCAAATATATGAACTGAATAGAGATGAATGTAAACAGAGGAGCTTGTAGAACTGTAATAAATACGTTGACTTATTTTATAGGCTCCTCTAAATGGCACTTTCTATTTCTAACACTGTGCATCTGTTTCTGTTAAACACGGCTCAATTATTGTCATCTTAAATAACAACAATGCCTACAATTGTATTGGGTGCAAAGGCTCAACAGTATTATACACTTGATACAGAAAAGAACTTTTCATCTCAATTTCCTTCCAGAAAGTGTTAGCTTTCCAGAAAGTATTAAAGCTCATAACAAAATAAAAAACACAAGCCATGGTGATCTTTAACTAATAGTCATTCTAAACTAAAAGACAAGGATTCCTTTTTACAGTTTCAAATGTTTCTGGATTTCAGTTCATGTTAAACTTGCAGTATACACAGTTTTGGATGTAATGTTTTGGAAAGCAAAGTAGCGAATTAATGAAACTTTCTTTCCATTCTAATCATTATTATGTTTGCATTCCATGTTAGTTGATACAAATAAACCCTATACTGACGCAAGCAGCAACAACTAATTGTATTTATGGAGAGTTTTGGAAAACACAAAAATTTCTGCACTCTTGAGCTATTTAGTTGGTCATTAAGTATTTAGTATTTCTGGGTTTTTCCCTATCACCATGGCTTGTGTTTTTTGTTTTGTTATGAGCTTTAATACTTTCTGGAAAGCTAACACTTTCTGGAAGGAAATTGAGATGAAAAGTTCTTTTCTGTATCAAGTGTATAATACTGTTGAGCCTTTGCACCCAATACAATTGTAGGCATTGTTGTTATTTAAGATGACAATAATTGAGCGTGTTTAACAGAAACAGATGCACAGTGTTAGAAATAGAAAGTGCCACACACGTGCATTCGCACGGGCACGTTTTGGGCACCATCCCTGCCCTATACCATTTCAGACAAGCGGATATCCAGTCTCTTCATAAAAACCTCCAGTGATGAAGTCCACCCACAACTTCTGGAAGCAAGTCATTACACGATTGATTGTTCTCATTGTCAGGAATATCTCCTTAGCTTTAGGTCGTATCTCTCTTTAATGTTGCTTCCAACTTACTTCTTGTCCTGCCCTTTTGGTGCTACGAAAAATAGGTTGAACCCTCCCCCACCCCCTTTGTGGCAGCCCCTCAAACATTTGAACAGTACAATCATCTCACCCCTCGTCCTTCCTTTCTCTAGACTAGCCCTACCCAATTCCTGCAACCGGTCCTTTCTCTGTTTAACCTCCAGCTAAAACATACAACAGAACCGGCAAGTTCCTTGATTGCTAACAGAGGACGGGAGAATTTTTCAAGGCAGTATTTTTCTTTAGGGCAAGCCAAGTGCTGTGTAACTGATACCTAGGACGCAGCTACGTCAGATGCCCCATTTATACACACAGATACTCAACTTCTGATCGTCAGTCACACACTCTCAACTTATCACACTCGGCAGGGCTGTCTAAGCAGCCCCTTTGAGCCCTTTGCCCCCAAGGAAAATCTACATCTGTACAAAATGAATTTTTGAAACCAAGGTGGATTTGATTTAAATTGAGTTGATTTAAATCACAATTTAAATCAGGATTTAAATCACTAGTAAAAAGGCTTGATTTAAATCAACTCGATTTAAATCATATTTTTTAAAGAGCAGCTGTCATCTCTGCTACTCCTTTGACCCACTATTGACTCACCGATAGTCCCAGTGTTGCAGAATATACAGCCTCATGCTACATAACTAAGCTCCACTTCATGCTGAATAAACTAAATTATTTATGCATCTTAAATAGAAAACTATCTTACGATAGATTTTTACCCCAAAAGTTTTTTATTAAAATAAATTTGATAAAAATCAAAAAAATCCAATTTAAATAAAAAAAAATCCAATTTAAATCAAAAAAATCATTGACTTTTATCCACCCTGTTTGAAACAAAGAATGCCAGAGATGGGTCTGTGGGAAGGGCAATAACATCTCATTAAGAATGGCTTTTGAATCATTAATTCAACAATTAATTCAATAGTAACACTTAGACTTATATACCGCTTCATAGTGCTTTACAGCGCTCTCTTAAGGTTTATAAAGTCAGCCTCTTGCCCTCAGCAATCTGGGCCCTCATTTTACCAACCTCGGAAGGATGGAAGGCTGAGTCAACCTTGAGCCTGGTGAAATTTGATCTAATGAAAATATACACTGTTTTATTTTTACTGTACAATGCAAAAGGATGAGTGGGGAGTGACATAAAAGCAAAATAATTTGTTATTTCCAGCCACAGATCTGGAAGCTCAGTTGAAACAGGCTGAGAAAGAACAGGCCTTTACAGCAGTCCTGAACATGGATTGGTGAAGTGGTGGTGATTGAAATCTTCTCCCCAAATTTCACTTTGAATAGAATATAAATATAGAATGACAGAGGTGGAAGGGACTTTGGAGGTCAACCCCCTGCTCAGGCAGGAAACCCTACACCACTTCAGACAAATGGTTGTCCAACATCTTCTTAAAAACTTCCAGTGTTGGAGCATTCACAACTTCTGGAGGCAAGTTGTTCCACTGATTAATTGTTCTAATTGTCAGGAAATTTCTTAGTTCTAAGTTATTTATTTATTTATTTATTTATTATTTCAATTTTTATACCGCCCTTCTCCCGAAGGACTCAGGGCGGTGCACAGCCACACATATAGAAAAAATTTAAAAGCAATTTTAAAATATATTAAATAATTTGGCCCCGATATTATTAAAAAAAAACTAAAACCACCATTAAAATTCATGTTTAGGCCAGCCCAGTTGTTGGAACCATAACATCTTGAGGGCACGGCGAAAGGCGCGTAGGTTGCTTCTCTCCTTGATTAGTTTCCACCCATTGCTCCTTGTCCTGCCCTCAGGTGTTTTGGAGAATAGCTTGACTCACTCTTCTTTGTGGCAGCTTATGAGATATTGCATCACTGCTATCATGTCACCCTTAGTCCTTCTTTTCATTAAACTAGGATGTAGTTAAGCCACAAGCAGGACATCACAGCTCCAGATCAACACAACTGATCTTAACAATGCAAGACTTGTATAAAGGAAGCCTAGAACTCCTCGGAGCTGTGGTGGTTTCTAAACTACTTGATCCAATTATCACTTTTCCAGGTCTCAAATAATGCCATTACTCTGAACACGCATGTTCGAACACATACAGAGACTTATTTATACAAATGTCTCAACAGCAACAATTCAAAACTGAGTCAATTCCAAACTGCTCCAAACCCCCCAGGATATGTATCCTGTTTCCCCCAAAATAAGACATCCCCTGATAATAAGCCCAATCAGGCTTTTGAGCGCATGGCAATAAGGCCGAGTGCTTATTTCAGGGTTCAAAAAAATATAAGACAGGCTCTTATTTTCGGGGAAACACGGTACCAATATTACCCCTTTGTTACAACTGCCTGCAATTTAAGGACGGCTGCCCTAGAGAGTTATGGTGAGGGTCAAATGAGCAGGGGAGAAGGTTCTGACCATGAAAAAACTCTGGGCATTGAATAAATGCACATATAGATAGATAGATGGATCCTTAATTTTGATGTCGTGCAAATGTACAAAATGAAATGGGATATAGTAATAATAAGTAAACATGAGAGGATAGAAGCTTTTGTTTTTAAATAGTGAGTCCATATAAACTATTAGGCATCTCAAAGCAGCCCACGCAAGGAGTGTTTAAATTATAAAGGACCACAATTTCTAAATTAAAGGATTTCTAAATTAAATTTCTAAATTAAAGAACCACAATTTCTAAATTGAATTAAAGGATTTCTAAATTAAATTTCTAAATTAAAGGACCACAATTTCTAAATCGAATAAGGATTTCTAAATTAAATTTCTAAATTAAAAGGACCACAATTTCTATTTCAATGTTTTGTCAAACCTGGCAAACTTTAAGACACCTGGACTTCAACTCCCAGAACTCCCAGTCAGGGATTTTATTTTATTTTTTAAAAAAATAGTAATATTAATTTCATTTTGCCTCTAGGATCATACATGGAAATGAGATTTCCTCCAGCAGTTTTCAAGGGAACCTCCCTGATTCCATTCCCCCGCCCCTTGGGGGGGCATCTTCCTAACACCCCTGTAAGGTAGGACCAGCCAGCAGAGTTAGAGGCATTGTGGTCCAATCTCCCAGGGGCCGGGGAAGATGGGTAATGGAGTCCAAAAGGTGCAGAAGCACCATCAAAGTCACATTCAAGGGAGTCCTTCCTAAAATGGGGGGGTGGAGAAAGAGAGAGGAAGGCCAAAGGGGGCGGAGCCAGCCGACCGACCCGCCTCCCGAGGTGACGTCACTCCCGAGGTGACGTCACTCCTTTATTCCCAACGGCGTGGGGGGGGGAAGGTGAGGGAAAAGGGGCGGCGGGCGGGCGCCCCTCACCTGGCATGTTGGTGTAGAGCTGCCGCTGCTGCTGCCGCGCCCGTTTCCTGCGCTTGGCCTCCTGCTCGAGGCGGATGAGGGAGGAGCACGAGTGGGCGCCGCGGCCGTAAGGCGGGTCCTCCTCCTCTTCCTCCTCCTCCTCCTCTTCCCCCGGGTAGGCGGAGCCCTCCATCGCGCTCCGGAGGGCGCATGCGCGCTCCCGCCTGCGCGTGGAGGGAGCCGACTAGCAGGGAAGCCCCGAGCGGCGCTGCGTTTTGTTGGGTCACCTAGGCGACGGTCCGGTGGGCGGGGCCGACGCACGCTCTGTTTGTGGGCGGGGTTGTGGCGTCATCGGGCTAGGCCCCGCCCCCTTTGAATGCTAGCAAAGGAGATTTTGGACGCCTAGAGGCGGCTTTTGGTTCCTGCGTCCGGGTGAAACAGCGCCTCTGAGCGTGTGCAGAGTGTTTCCCCCCCCCCGTGCCGTTGAACGCACACCCATGCTGTGCAGGGAGCCCTCACTGAAATAACGTGGCTCAATGGCTAAGACACTGAGCTTGTCCATCATAAAAGTCGACAGTTCGGCGGTTCGAATCCCTAGCACAGGTCTCCTGTGTGAGCAGGGGATTGGACTAGATGACCTCCAAGGTCCCTTCCCAACTCTGTTACTGTTTTTTAAAAAAAGTATGTGGCACACTTTTTCAAGTGTGTGTTACGTGTGGCACACGCTTCGTGCAATATGTAAGAATTATCAATGCAATCCAATTTTATTTTATTCAAGGCCCCAGCCCAGATCCAAATAACTTCCCACAGTGTCTACACCCCGTGTGGGAAAGTAAATTAAAACAAAGCATCATTCTCTGAAAAAAGTAATTTATTGCAGCAATTTTGAACATTTGCTAAGTCCTTGGACTGTGCAACACCAAAAGGTTTTCATGTAATACCTTGCAAGAAAGGAAGAATTAACCTTTGATTCAGACTTTCCTGCTTGTCCTACCTACAACGATTCCTATATGAGAATGCAATCAATGCATTCTGATTTTATTAAAGGCTCCGGCCAGATCCAAATAACATCCCACAATGTCTATGCCTCCTGCGAAAGTAAATAAGACAAAAGCAACATTCTCTGAAAAAGTAATTTTTTGTAGTACTTTATTGTATTTTGTTGTCCGGGACTCTGCAACCCAAAAAGTTTTCCTATTTACAAGGATACCTAACTGAGAATGATAATTATCCCCGCCCCCACTTTAAGTGTTTTATTTTTTATTTTTTTACAAACATATCAGATCAATGTGTGAACAGTTTGGTACCTGGGTGTCCTACATTCTAATACAAATAAAACTAGTAAAATTAATCATAGTTATTACATTCAATCAACTTATATATTTCTAATAATGATACACAATTCTAATAAATTGCAATCTGTCATTATTCAGTTATTCCATGTTGATCAATAGAATAGTTTTTCCCTGAATGCCATCACTCTGCTTAACAACTAATTCCCACAACACTGTCAAATAATTTACTAAGGCTGTATTACTATTATTCTTCTCTTCCTTACTAGTATCTATCTCTTCCCACTTATGACTATAAACATGTTGCTTGTATCTTTCAATTTATATTGTGTTTATTTGTTTCCTAGTACGATTTGAAACCTTATTAGTAACCTTGACTATCACTAAGTGTTGTATCTTTTTATTCTTGATGAATGTATTTTATTCTCCTTATGTACACTGAGAGCCTATACACCGAAGACAAATTCCTTGTGTGTCCAATCACACTTGGCCAAAAAAGAATTCTATTCTATTCTATTCTATTCTATTCTATTCTATTCTATTCTATGCATTAACTGAATGCTGCACCTTTCTTCCTGAAAGACATTTCCAGGGTAATCCACTTTACCTTGAGGATTTCCAAAGGGACAGAGGATGGGACACATTTCTTAAATTTGCCCTCTCTTTCCTTGCTTGGATGGTTGAGAAACACAGGGGTAGAAAAGTCACTCTTGGAAGGAACAAATCCAGCTGTTTCAAATGTCGAAGATGGCAGCGAAGTAGGCGGCGATGCCACAGGAGACCCAGTAATCAGATGTAGCTGTTGGTATTATCGGACAGATCCTACACCAACTACTGAGCAGCCTGTTCACATCAGGATCTGGAATTCTCTCCGTTGCTTTCAGAACAAACAAACAAATTCATGGTTAAAAAGAGAGACTTCTTGGCAGAAGAAAGTCAGTTCATAGGCTGTATAAACAGAGGGATAGAATCAAGATCATGTGAAGTGTTAATACCGCTTTATAATGCCTTGGTAAGGCCATACTTGGAATACTGCATCCAGTTTTGGTCACCATGTAAAAAAAGATGTGAAGACTCTAGAAAGAGTGCAGAGAAGAGCAACAAAGATGATTAGGGGACTGGAAGCTAAAACATGAAGAACGGTTGCAGGAACTGGGTATGTCTAGTTTGATGAAAAGAAGGATTAGGGGAGACAAAATAGCAGTGTTCCAACATCTCAGGGGTTGCCACAAAGAATAGGGAGTCAAACTATTCTCCAAAGCACCTGAGGGCAGGACAAGAAGCAATGGATGGAAACTAATCAAGGAGAAAAGCAACTTAGAACTAAGGAGAAATTTCCTGATGCTTAGAACAATTAATCAGTGGAACAACTTGCCTCCAGAAGTTACGAATGCTCCAACACTGGAAGTTTGTAAGAAAATGTTGGATAAACATTTGTCTGAAGTGGTGTAGGGTTTCCTGCCTAAGCAGGGGGTTAGACTAGAAGACCTCCAAGGTCCCTTCCAACTCTGTTATTCTGTTATTCTGTTCCTGCCCTGGCATTTCTAAAAAGCTGGTGCTAGATGCTGACTTCCTAAGAGATGGTACAGTTCTGAAAAATAACTGCGGTGGATTTCAAAAATATTAATGATGATTCCCCCCCCCCAAAAATAAGGGCACCATCATTAAACTCTTCCTATGTGCTCATCAGGTTATTCAACTTGGAAGGAGAAAATAAGCCACCTTGGACAAGTTTATTTCAAACTTGCTGGATTGAAAATCCCCCAAGAGGATTAGATACATTATAAACTAGATTAACATCTAAAAAAAACATCTGCCTTAAGTTATTATCTAGCGGTTGTATGGAAGAAACTTCAGCGAGGTTTACTTTGACTTTGAAACGAAAAGAGTAGACCTCTCCCCCGCCCCAATCCCAGCACGTGGCCTTCGTGCTTATGCTTACAATTTAACAATCTTTAGCTCTTAAATCCAAACTACGTATTCATTAAATTGAAATCAAGGCAAATTCAAACTTAATTAGATTGAGATAAGATCAAATTAAACTCAAACCAATTAAATTAAGACAAGAACAAAATGCTAACTGAACAGAGACATCGCCTTTCCATGCAAATCCCCTCACTCCTGTTTACCCAAACTTTATTCCTTTCCTCAATAGGAAAGTAGATGGATGGCAGTGCCATTTTTGGAAGCCTCAAAACCTTGCTGATTTAACCCAGGGGATCTGGATATTTACAACTGCATGCAGAATTATCTTGTTCCTGATCTAGAAATCCCAGCACGTTGAACAACTGGGTTTAACTGTACTAACAATCAAAGCTTGCCTGCGGTGGCCCAGCATGGACCATTTCTCAGATTCTCCAGCTCTCTGGCCTACAGAGCAATGTATCGGCTGCAGCCATAACCTCCAGAAGACCATTTTTGACATCCCAAGACTTGGGAGTACACGAAGAAGGTTGCGAGAAACAGCCTTTTCTGTTTGCTTGATGCAAATGCCTATTCTTTCCCAGTATAAAGAACATTGCAGATTATCGGTCTAGCTTGCAACTCATTGAGTATAACGGTGCTCCACTCGCGTGGTTCAAGAGAGGAAGCATTAATGCACCTGCTCAGCTGCGGTCTAGCAGCCACAGATGAGGGAGGCTCTTCCTTCCTGCTGCAAGAAGAAAGAAGGCCAAGAAGTGGGGGCTGCATGATCTGTGGGTCAAGGTTGGCCTGCCTAGCACTTCTTCTGCTGCGGGGAGCAACGACAGAAATCAAAGGCTGGCTTTTAAACTACGTTTCCCAGGCTTGTCACATTTCCCAGGCTTGTTCTTAACGGCAGCACCACAGATGGCCAGGGAGAACGTGCATTTTTATGAAGGCATCTGGCCAGCTTAGGGGAGACCACTAACCTCAGGGTAGAGCAGGTGGTCCTTCGAACCTTGAGTGCAGAAAAGTCCAGGAAGAGAGAACTTTGAGATGGTGAAGCCCTTCTCGCAGTAGGTCCTCTTCTTGAGCAGCCTGTTAGGTGGTTGCTTTCCAGTTTTCAGCCCGAGGAACTGCAGAACCATCCTTCCGTACGCCACGAGAAGGAAGACGTCAACGCTTTTGCTGACCCCATCCTGGTCACCGCCACCCCGCTCCGATTCTTGTGACCAGAATGTCAGGACAGACTCAGGGTATTAGTAGGGCTGCCAAAAGCTCGTGAATTCCCCTACCTCGGTTAGACCATCTCTGTTCTTCTTACTCATCCTACCGGGGACAGCCCCAACGATTCACAACTGCTAGCCGAGCATTTCTAAGACACCTCAAAGTGCGATCTTCAAAACAACCAACAGAAAGAAGCTCGCGGAGTTTTTTTTTTTCTTTTTTCCTCTCCTCTTTCGTTTTCTGGAAATGAATACTCTTCGTTCCCGATGCCTCATGTTGCTGGGGGATTTTCATGGGCCTGTGGATCAAGGTGGCTTTAAAGACAATAAGTAAAAACGTGAAGGTTTCCACTGTCCAATTGTCTCCATCCTTATGTTCATCTCCGTTTCTTAGCCGAGGGAGCCAGCAATGTCCGATGACATTTTCCATGGTCATGTGGCCAGCATGGCTGTACGCCAAAGACACACACTGAATGCTGTTACCTTCCCACTGAAGTGGTGCCTATTTATGTACTCGCATTTGCATGCTTTCGGACTCCTAGTGGGGCAAGGACGGGAGCTCACCCCTTTGTGTGGCACTCGGGTCTCGAACCCCGGGCTGTCAACTTTCCAGCTGACAAGTTTAGTTGTCTTTATCTGCTGAGCCATCGCACCCTCTCCTTTTGATAAATAAATGAATGCATGTTGGAGACTGGCTTCAACAGCACTACGGGATCAAATTAGGTGCCACAGTCGGTCAGCCATTCTGAACAACCGGGGTTTGAGTGACACAGCTTTCTCCAACCCTT